GCTCTACCGAATGGTTGCAGTAAGAATGGCAGTAGTAAAACTGCTCCAATAGCAATATCTGGCGCGGGAACCGAAATATTTCAAAATCTCTGGCAAAGTTGTTCTTCGTTTTCTTTTGCTTTCTTCTTCGATTTTATGCCATTCTCCTTCAAATTAGTCGGAATTTTTGCGAGTTTGTCACGGTTGTGCTGAAGGTTTCATAAAGGTGACCAAATTCATCTCGAATTTCTTCCTTCTGGTTCGCAATTCTTAGCCAGCTGTTAGCCTTTTGTCTTTTGTTCTGTCACTGCACAATGCTAAGTCTGGTTTGTAATGTATAATTTCGTAGGATTCCCATGTCGGCATACGATCCTTCACTTCTTGGACAGTTTTTGCAGCAGTACTATAAGCGGATTTTTCCGTTCAAACCATACGTCAAATGGCTGTTGCTACAATCAAAGTAAGTTCGTCTTTCTAAACGTTGTTTGTGAACAAGGCTTTTCTCAAAAGTACAAGTCGCGTGAGAAGCCTATTTTATAATTTTTCAAATCTCATTTTTCTCTGAAGTGTAGAAGAGTAATTCCCGCTTTCATATAACAGTATAAGACTGAAATTGAGATCCTTTTTGGTGACAATTTTATAATATTGTGTTTTAGAGCCTGCAGACTATTTTGCGAGGCGTGAATTTGCGTTCATTCTTGAGGAGGACGTGCATCTTCGATACCGCAGCTTTGACGATCAAGCCGAATTTGAGCACGAGCTGTGCAAAATCAGTCCGCATAAGTTGGATATCGGAGCTGTCTACTCTCACAAGGTTCAGCATTGCATTCTTTTCTTCGATTCATAATTCTAAGTAGAAGTCTTGGAAGTTCCTCTTCTCGTTTAAAAAAATGGGTCTATTTCAGTTAAGGGAAGGGTGGGCGTTTGGTGTCACACGGCGAAGGCTTTGAAAACCACTACAAAAATCTTTATTGCTCAGCATCTACAAGAATCAACCTTCGCTTACATTGGTTTTCGAACAAGCTCATTGGTTCACACATATCGGAGGATCCTCCCTCGCAAAAATTGAGATTAGTGTTCTAGGTGCGAACATTGCAGCAAAATAGCCTCTCCCGCACTTTACTGGAAATAGAGCCATAAAAACTTCCTGGTTTCCCGTTGGAGCATTCATCTTGGAAGGCCTGCGAATGGCAAAATCGCTCGAATTGACTGCATCTATACGAGTTTTTTGTTTCAATTTTTCACAAAGCAACATAACTACGTCGTGAAAAAAAAATAACATAATGTGAGTTGAAAACCTTATTTTTATTACGAGACCATTGTGACTCGAGAAATAAAGCTATAGATTTGTTTGAATATCTTCATTCACTTTTCGATTTATCTGCTTATACTCTGTGAATAGATGCTAATTTATTCCCGCTTCCTCCACTCTCACTTATTTTTCGTTCTCATTCATTTCAGCCAAAAGACAATAAAAGCCACTCGCATTTCAAAGCAGTCGAGCGTGAGCTCGTTTTCGATATCGATCTTACGGATTATGACGAAGTGCGAAAATGTTGCAAGTAAGTGCATTAAATATATGTCAAAATCCTTCACACATGGATTACAGTGTCATTCGGATATGAAATGCAGCAAAATTCATCGATTCTAAACAACGTGTTGTTGGGTTTTTGAAAACCTTACAATCCAAAAAATGCTACTTTTGGTGAACAGTGCGGCTGCATAGCATTTCCCAGTCGCAGTGTCAGCGTTATTTAACTCATGCATTTGGCGGTGAAGTTTAGCTCGGAATAAACTTGCTAACAAGCTAAAGAAGCGAGGGCTGAGTTTTTAGCGGGAAAGGTCTTAGAAAAGCAAGCGCAAGCACGGTTGTCCCAAGCCATTTGCAACGGAGCCCTGTGAGATTGCAGGAAATATTCCTATGAAATTTGACACAGGAGAATCGGTGCAGTTTAGAGAGACTTATATAGATACAAGCAATATGCTTTGAAGTTAGTTTTGACTAAAATTTGTCTTTTAGTGAGGCAAAGGTCTGCGCTAAATGTTGGCGCTTTGTTTCGCTTGCTGTGCAGGTGCTCGACAAACTACTTGAAGGTACGTATTTGTTTTTAATTGCAGAATTTTTGCTTGTTATGGATGAATGATTTGAAGTTAAGATCACTTCGGATTCAAAGCTAGAATGTGGGTGTTTTCTGGACGTCGAGGTGTTCACTGTTGGGTAGGAGACGAGAAGGCGAGGAAGTTGACAAATGCCGGACGCTCTGCTGTCGCTGAATATCTTTCGCTTATTGTGGTCAGTTATAGTAATAATTTTAGAAGTGAAGATTCTTCATTCTACTGCTTTCTGCGTTCAGTTTCAGCTCTCTGATTCCTTTCACTGCTTCGAATATTTTGCACCGGAGACAACCCGTCGTAGACCTTCTAGAGCCCATACTTGAAGCATGTGTTTTCAGGGTGATAAACTCGACATGTATGGCAGTCGGACAACTTTAGCCAAAAAATCGCTTCCTCTTCACCCAATGGTGGAGACCGCTTATCGAGTAGCTATGGACTGCGGTGAAATTGATGACATGGTAATGACTAAAATTTAATTCTTTTTTAGACAATGCGAACTATATTCGTTCTCAGGTTGTCGAGCAGGGTTGGCTGGAGCTTGACTCAGCACTTGAAATCCTGAAATTCTGCGAAGATCCCGAATTGCAAGCTACTCTTCGGTCTCAATTTGAAGAGTATGTGTTGTTCTAAATTTATACCCTTCACTTCCTCGACGTGTTCCGATTCAGTGGAGGAATCCTCTCTTCATCAGAAAATACCTTCATTTCTTACATTTGTTTTAAGATTAGACACCCCCGCAATGAGGTGGCAACTTCTGAAACGTCGTTTTGATGACAAATACCGGAAGGAAATGAAGAAAGCTCATCAGGTCCTCCCAGAGGTGAGCGTTCTCACTTTGGTTGTGCGATTCTCAAGGGATATTTCTTACGTTTTTTTTTCGTTGTCAGTACAAAATGTATCCCCTTGTTCGACATACCGCGTTGGATAGCAAATCATCACTGAGATGGGCTGTGTTTGAAAATTTTTAAAGGTAATCGACGAAAGGTACGAAAAAGTTTGGATGATACCGGGGTAGTAGCAGGTTGTCCAAGATGTTGTGACTGTTGAAAAGACGCTGAGGGAGTTGAAGAACTCTCACATCACTGAAACTGGGAGGGGGGGGGTCATCTGTTGTGTGATCTATGGAGAATACTTTTGAGAACTATGGCTCAATATATTACTAATTTTTATTCTTTGTTAATGCCTAATGAGTATATGATGATATTCCATTAGTCTTCTTGGACATCCTCATATATAGGGCCGTCGTCTCCTATTCTTCCTTTTTACGGGTTATTTGAACTTTCCTCCATGGTCCTGCCACGAATGGCGGAGGGCACAGACATTAGAGAACGGCGCCTGGCTCGGCTCCAAATCCCAAGAAAGGAAGTGAGAGCCCTAGGACTAAGCCTTGGAGGGTTGAGGAGGAACTCCAGGTGGGTGAGCCAATTACAGTGTGGGCAAAAGTGAATGTGGTGATCACAAGTGGTTATCAGCCGCTGTCAAGTACGGAAAGAGCGCGAGACAGACAGGTCCGTGATGGCGCGGCTTTAAGACTTGGGCTCAAGTGAGTTCTCGAGCGCATTCTTCCCCATGATGGACGGAGTCCCCGCCGCTGATCCTGTCCCTGCGTTGGGAATGAAACCAGGGTAGCGTCACAGATAGGAAAGCGCTGGGACGGCGATTACCTGGAAATGATAGGATATGGCCCACGATGTTGCTGCCTGACCTAGGTAACACTATTCCACCCTCTAACGATTGAGTTGTGGTCTTGGGTAGGGAAAACATTCTGAAGTCAGAACCTAAAGTAGAATCGTACATTGTACTAACTGATCCATAATGTTGACTTCGTTCCGGTTTTGTGTTGAACTTAGGCTGCTTTGCTGATTTACGGGAAATCGCAAACCACGCATGGTTGGGAGAAACTGTGGGATCAAGGGTATAACAAGTCGTCTTATTTACCAATTCCGCTTACCACGTAATAACTGGTTTGTTGAGTATACACTCTTCTGAATATAATAGCTCCGAATCACATTTCGGGTTTTTGCTTCCAGCCCGTTCGTGGTCCGAGCAAGAACTTTCTGCGGTGGTTCGTATTATGGCACGCATACCCACGGCTAGACGTCAATGTGTCTACAGGTCAGGCCTTATAAATATATAGCTTCATAAGAGCGTTACGAAAAGGGGAAATTTGTTTGGATCAAGTCGATTTATCAACGTTGTTTCAGGGCTGAACCATTTACTGAAATATACCATTGTATTCGATCCAAAACAGGGAGGGTCCTGTGCTTTGGATGGTTACATTTCAAGGTTCACGAGTTTGATGTAACGACGTGTCCTCGTGTTGAGTGAGTTTGAAGATGCCCAGTTTTCTTTGTAAAGCGCCATAACAGCAATTGACAGTTAAATACATGGGTATGCCTTGCCGTTTAGTTATCTTGGAGAAATGATTGAAGCGGGAGTCATGTCTGGCCTTCTCTAAGGTGCAGTTTTTTTTCAAAGGAACGGAATCCCTTCCAGAGTGCTCCACCCACTTCTCCGAGATCACTTAACGCCAAGGCATACCCCTTTTTACCGCTCCGTTGCTATCACATTCTGATTCTTGGTGATTATAGTGGAAAGTTGCTTTCAGTAGATCTCTTTCATCCTTTGTTCATAAACTTGTGGTGACTTCGGCAACCTTGAACAAACCATCCCATATTCAGAATTTGCAGGTTTTTTATAGGTCTAGTGAGTACTGCGATCAGTTTCTGATGTAGCACATTCAGAAATTACTTCAAATCTATGACTTCAGAGCATGCTATCATTTTGAGATTACTTATAACTCTATGAAATTCAGCATTCTCGTCAACGAATTGTCAAAAACCATAGCAGATGAAGACGTCAAAGAAAATCGAAAGATTCTGGGTAATTGCTTGTGCAAATTTATACATCTATAATGATCCTGTTACTTTTCATGTTTTCCGATCAGAAGATTTAAATGTGTGTTTTTTTTTCAGGTTATAAGCACACATCCCTGGCTCCATATGTGGAAAACTTCGAGAAATTCGTAGCGCTAGCTGTTTCTAGCTAGTTTTGTGAACGTTTTGCATTTGCTCATAATTGGTCTTTGGTATAACTTTGAGTTTGATATATTACGGGAGGTTTTTCAACTTTGATTCATTATAATACTTACATATTGTTTGTTGCATTTAAAAGAATGTTCAGGTATGTGAAGGTGATCCATAGAATTAACTTTGTATATACATTTTCTACTTTGCGAAATTCTTCTGATCACTGATTTAATGTTCAGTAGCTTTCTAACATTTGCGAGTATGACTTTACAAGAATGGTTCTAATAAATATACACAGGTTTATTGACACCTTTATAAAGGTGGATCCTTGCGCATGCCAGGGGAGTGGAAGTTGGTCTTCGAATGATACCAAGGAAGATTCGTCAAAAAGCAGGGTACTGCATGAAAATCAAGTTTGCTGAAGATCACCCACCATGGGGTGTAACAGTGACATCTCGAATCTTTTCTTGGTGAGAAAAGATGGGAATATGCATCTCGGAACGAGCGAATGATCCTCAGGCTCAGCTCGCACGCTCCGTGCGGTTGTGACAATCAGCTGAGAGTTGAAGCGCGCGGAGAGCTTTTATGCGGTCGTGAGGCAAGACATTGGGATAGCGGCGTGTCGCACATGCGCCATCTACACTTATACATCTGGCGTTAAGCACCACAGTAGGAGCCCTGAGTCCAGGTAATCGCAGCTGAGAATCGCCGCGTGGTTGACCGGTTCTGTGCTCATTGCTGTAGTTCTCATGTCTTCTTTTTCATTTCTTTTAGGCGGTACCGACTTTTTATCAGATAGGGGGGTCTCATTGCTATTCCTATTTTGGGGAGACGACGCGACTCATTACACGGAACGAGCGCGATTACTGCGCGTCGAGGTTTGTTTCTTTTCCAAACCCGGGCGCGTAACGCGTAACTCGTCACGTGCACTTGAGGATGTTCGGCCGGGTTACGCTAAAGAAAGAAAGCGCTCTGAGCCTTTCCAGACCAGGTTGAGATATGGAACGTGGGGGTGACTAAGTGCTGGGAAGTGATTTTGT